CTAATCAGTTATTTCTTCCACGGACCCGAGGATACCAATATTAGCACTGATGGTACGAAAATGTAATTCGCTATTCAAACAACTATTCAAAGTTCCTAGAGCTCTTTGTAAGGCTTGTTGCAAAACTTGTTGTCGGACCTGATTAATTGCTCTTTGTTTTTCAAAAAAAAGAGTTTCATTTTTGTAATTTTCTAATCGTTCCAAACTATTGCAAGTAGCATTAATCAAATTTACTTTTTCTCGTTCTATATCAGAGTATCCATTCGTTCGATACTCATCTGCTTCGATTTCCACTTTCCGTAATCTAACCCGAGCTCTTTCGAGCTGTTCAATGGCTCCTCTACGTAATTCTTCTGAATTTCGAATAGTACTCAAGATCCTCTGTTTTCGCTTATCTAATAAATCATTTAATGAAAGTAGATTATCTTTCCATTCATTTCACAACTAGAATATCTCTTCCCGAACCAAACATGAATCTTTCGATTCATTTGGCTCTCACGCTCAATTGTTTCTTTTATCTTTTCTTTTATTGATGGGCATTCCCATATCTTTGAATGGAATGAGCCTATCCTCTCTTTTCTGTTCGTATTCAAAGCTATCGAAACTGATCTAACATCAGAATCTTAGGAGGACTCTTCAGACCAGACAAAAAATAAAAAATTGTCAGCAAAGTTGTTTCTTTATTTGTTCTTTATTTAGAACTTCTTTCTTTCAAAAAAAAAGATATTTTAAAGAAAAAAGAATTCTATTATACTATTAGAATAGAAATAGAATTGAATATAATTCTGAACTTCATTACTTCATTCTCATTATTATTAGAATGAGATTTCGATTTTTTTCATCCAAAAAATTCTCTTTTTTATACAAATATTTTATATAAATACAATACATAGGTCGTCGATTCGGCAGTGGGGGGGAAGATACCCATTTTTCCAGTGAATGGTTCAAATAATTTTATCCATATGAGTGTTCTACATCGAATAAATTCCCAATTATTCCTTTTTTATTTTTCTCATTTTTAAACCTTTTTGGTACTAACCTAGCGGTAGAAAGAGTACCATGCTATGCTGTGCCTGGACTTCAAACAATTGATCTTTAACCATGTAAAAGACCTCAACATTATTGGTTGATAGAGAAGAGAATCAAAGTTCATTTACCAATTAATCACGAAATGCTATGGTTCTTACATATGATTTCTGAATGAAATCCAATTCAGAAGTAATTCGTCGAGATTGTGCACCCTTTGTTCCTAGTTCTGCTATAAAAAAGAATACATAAATAGAAAGAAAGTGCAGTCGGTGAAATCCAACCTATTCTTGAAATAAACAACTCGCACACACTCCCTTTCCAAAAAAAATCAATACACCCAGCACTACGCTTAGATTTATTGGATTTGTTGCTAAAATATCGGTATTAAACTCGAAACTCCCAGCGGATGACCAGTGCCCCACGGAAACAAAAGAATCAATTAGATTTTTCATATGCTCTCCCTTTATAGATAGGACTAACAAAGAACAGAGTTCTTTTTGTATCACTCCGCTTATTATTCTTAATGGAATTTGAGAATTCTCAAATTTCTTAGTTATGGTTATGTTTTTCTTCTAAGATGAAATGAAACATTAAACAAAAGGATTTGCAAATAAAAGAGCTAATGCCACGACCAGTCCATAAATTGTTAAAGCTTCCATAAAAGCCAGACTAAGCAATAAAGTACCTCGTATTTTACCCTCTGCTTCTGGTTGTCTCGCAATACCTTCTACGGCTTGGCCCGCAGCAGTACCTTGACCAACCCCAGGTCCGATAGAAGCAAGCCCTACAGCCAATCCAGCAGCAATAACGGAAGCAGCAGAAATAAGTGGATTCATGGTAAGCTCCTCGCACCAAAAAAAGAAATGGTTAATGATACAACCAACCAATGAATTAGTACTTAATCTACTTCTTTTTCTACTTCTATTTTTACTATTTACTTTACTACACTTATTTTTTATTTTTTGATCTTTATCACTAAAATCTATCGGGTCGAAATAGCTAAAAGCTCCAAATGGAATTCATAATATTACTGAATTGTCAGAACTACTTCGATATACCGTTTTTCCTTTCTACCTTATGTAATAGATATGTATACGATTTTAGTCATTGCGTTTCCTTGTTTATAAAATATTCTATTCTTTCTCTTTCATTCAATTCACAATAACAGACAAAATAGAAAAAGGACTGATATGGGAATCCATATAAATGCAGTGGGCTAGAAAAAAAGAGATAGGGGTAATTGCTATTTAACTAGTAAATAACATATACTTTTCTTCTTCCATAACGTAAATCACCTGCACTTTTTCTTCTATTAAATCGTATTCTGGAACCATTCTTCGAAACATACACAAGGATTGATACTCATAGGCATTACATATACATATATGTAGTAATATATGTAGTAGGATCCCCAACCCTTCTTTCTATTCCAAATTCTGCAATATCATCTATCTTTCTTCATATATACATACATGTAGCTATTTGCATTTTCTTATCCAACCCAGTAGTGGATTATATTGAACCCCCGCATTGCTTGAATTGGGATAAGCTTCAAAAAAGACTATTTCGAAAGTTAGTCAATGATGACCCTCCATGGATTCACCTATATAAGCCGCAGCCAAAGTTGCAAAAATAAGAGCTTGAATACCACTTGTAAATAATCCAAGAAACATGACAGGTATAGGAACTACTGAAGGCACTAAAGAAACAAGAACAACAACCACTAATTCATCAGCCAATATATTCCCGAAAAGTCGAAAACTAAGAGATAAAGGTTTTGTGAAATCTTCTAGAATATTAATTGGTAAAAGTATTGGAGTTGGTTGAATGTATTTCCCGAAATATCCCAATCCTTTTTTGCTAAGACCCGCATAGAAATATGCCACTGACGTAGGTAAAGCTAAAGCAACAGTAGTATTTATATCATTCGTGGGCGCAGCTAACTCTCCATGAGGTAACTTTATGATTTTCCAAGGTAAAAGAGCACCTGACCAGTTAGAAACAAAAATAAATAGGAACATCGTTCCTATAAATGGAACCCAAGGACCATACCCCTCTCCAATCTGAGTTTTGCTCAAGTCTTGAATAAATTCAAGGACATATTCGAAGAAATTCTGACCGTCGGTCGGAATGGTTTGTGGATTCCGAACAGCTATGATGACTGAACCTAATAAGATAGCAATTACAACCCAAGAAGTGATAAGTACTTGGGCATGAATTTGTAAACCTCCTATTTGCCAATATAAATGTTGGCCTACTTCTACACCTGATATATCATATAACCCTTTGAGTGTTTGAATGGAACATGGTATAACATTCATATTGTCCTCTAACAGATTCAAAAAAGTAATTATTTTGATTCAACCATCTCTTTCTCAATTCATCTATGTTCATTCATGAATTTAAGTTAGGAATCGTATATTTAGGAAATCACATAAAAAAAAAAGACCAATCATTTTATGTTTTCAATCTTAAATATTATTCAATATTCAAAACATAGTTCAAACTCCAAAAGATGCAAACCAAAATAGTAACAATCAAAGAGAGTTCACCAAAAACAAACTAATATTCTTCTTTCTTCTTCTTAATGATAAGATTAATGATAAGATAATCAACCATTTTTTAGATAACTAGAACGGCCCTCACAAATTGCAGATACTAATTTGGTAAGAATCAATCGAATCGAAGCTATAGCATCATCGTTGGCCGGAATAGAGATATCTGCAAGATCTGGGTCACAATTTGTATCGATTAAACAAATCGTCGGAATACCCAAAATGACACATTCTCGAAGAACCGTATATTCTTCTTGCTGATCAACGATAATTACAATATCGGGCAATCCCGTCATATATTTGATCCCACCCAGATATGTTTGCAAGGTAGATAACTTTCTCTTCAACATTGCTGCATCTCCTTTGGGGAGACGATTGAGTTTCCCCATCTTTTGTTCTGCTCTTAAGTCCCTGAACTTCTGAAGTCTTGTTTCTGTAGTAGACCAATTCGTTAACATACCACCAAGCCATTTTTTATTAACATAATGACATCGAGCCCTTATTGCTGCTGATGCTACTAAATCCGCTGCTTTCTTTTTGGTGCCAACGATTAAGAATTTTTTTCCCCTACTTGCTGCATCAAAAACTAAATCGCAGGCTTCTGATAAAAAACGAGCAGTTATAGTAAGATTTGTAATATGAATACCTTTACGCTTTGCAGAGATGTAAGGAGCCATTCTAGGATTCCATTTATTAGTACCATGACCAAAATGAACTCCTGCTTCCATCATTTCTTCCAAATTGATGTTCCAATATCGTCTTCCCATTTTCCCACACTTTCTCTTTTTCTTTTTTTTTTTCAAAGAGATTCAGTACCTTGTGAAATAAATAATTGTTCCGACGGAACCTTCTACCAGGATTGACCATTAATCTACGACCCAAACCATGAATTTCATTCTTTCTTTTTTATTTCATTGATTTATTACGAAATCCATAATCGGACCAGAGAGTTAAAGTAAAAAGAATGAACCTCTTGTTAGGAATTAGTAAATTACATTACGTAAATGATTGGTCTGATGTCTCATGGAAAGTGTTTGGGGCACAAGAACAAAATAATTCTCTATGGTGTAACAAAATATCTCCCATTTCCAACTCGAATAGATTCTTCCTTTTGATTTTCAAATGAATGTTTTTGTCTTGCTTTGAACGATGTACTAATTTTTTGAATCCGGTACCAACCGGTATAATCCCCCCCAGAACAACGTTCTCTTTCAGGCCTTTCAACCAATCAATACGACCTCGTAGAGCAGCTTTTGCTAAAACTCGAGCAGTTTCTTGAAAACTCGCTTCGGATATGAAACTTTGAGTATTCAGAGATGACTTCGTTATTCCCAATAAGATTGCCCGATAACAGATCGCTTCGTCCAAAACACGCCCTGCTCGCTCTGCTCGCAACAATCCAATAAATTCCCCAGGTAAAAAAACATTAGACATTCCATCTTCTGAAACCAAAACTCTTGATGTTACTTGACGTACAATAATCTCTATATGTCTATTATGGATCTGTACCCCCTGGGATCGATAAACCTTTTGGATCTTATTAACCAAAGAGATACGACTTTGGGCTATGGTTAGTTCAGCTCCAATAAAGAATCCCCAGGGGATCCCAAGAATCCTTCGGATACGGTCGTCCCAACCTTCAACTCTTCTTTCGAGGTTCATCGATATTGAATCAATTGAACGAACTTCTAAGATTTGTTCCACTTTTGGAAGACCTTGCGTTATGTCACCAGATCTCGATTTTTCATATATAAATGTAATTAATGTATCTCCTTCATAAAAGGTTTCCCCATAATGGCCATGGACAGTTGCTCCTGGAGTGACCAAATAGGGCTTAGCTGATCTTATAACTAAAGAGTCAACATGAACAATGAAAATTTGACCAGATTTTTTTATGCGTGATCCGTATTTCAATAGACATACATTTTCACAAAGGAATTGTCCAAGGCTAATTATTGTCCATGCCTCTTCACAAGAATCGTGATGGAGAAAACACCAATTCAAATGGAATGAATTCCAAATGATGTTACTGCATGGATCGGGATTATAAATACTACTATTTTCATCTAGGAAACAGTATTGAAATGGAAGTACTTGAAGCACTTGGAAAGTCTGTTGAAATTTTTCAAGTAAAAAATATTTCTTTAAAAAGACTTGATTATAAGTTCTTAAATAGTAAGATGAACGAAAATTTACTATTTTAGGCACAATAGTACCTAAAGGACCCAAAAAATCCCTAATTGGAGTCAGGGGATCCGATTCTTTTGTCGCATTATTATATCTCGAAGTATTGAAGGGGCCAATTCGAAAACAATTGGATGATGACAAAATTATGAAAGATTGGCATTCCTTATTTCGATTCAACAACGTACCAAGAGTTTCCTGATGTTGGGGAAATAATTGAATCTTCGCCTTGGAATCAAAAGGATTTCTATCGGCACGATCTAATTCATTATTGGAAATCAATCCTGAACCTGCCGTATCATACCTTTTTTCGGTATACGAAATAGTGGATTTTACTAACTCAATTCGGATGAAATCACGAAGCAGATCATTTGCCCTTATTTCAACAAAAGAAGCATGAACCTCTTCTTCTATAGAACTCTTTTTTTCTTGTTCTTGGTCCCAAGTCAATACTAAGCAAGCCCGAACTAATTGAATACTTGTGTGAGAAATTCCTCGAATTGACTTGCCATTTCCATAAAGTATATAATTGACAATTAGAAGTTGTACATTATCCTTTTCCTGCAAGAGATCCTGAGAGAAAAGTGTTGCTAAATTTATCCCATCAGCTATTTCATATGTGACTACGGGCCGAACCAAAACAAAATACTTTTTTTTGGTAGGTGTAATTCGTTGGACATAGATCCAATTTTTCAATTTTTTTGATCCTTTAGAATTCTTTTTTTCCATTCCTGGTGGTATCAAAACGCCACTGTGCCTAGATATTTTATCCACCTCTCCAGAAAAATGAATATCTCCAGAAAAGATTTTCAGTTCCATACTTTTTTTTTTTCTCTCCACTCGGACTAATCCACCTACTCGACTTCTTGTATTCATATTTAAAGCAAGTCGTGTATCTACTCCAATGATACTATTGTTCCGGACCATTATGGGCGAAGATCCGGGTAAGATATGCACTTCCTCGGGAATGAAAAAAAAGCGATCTACTTTCATTTGCATTTGGTATTTCGGACTAAATTCTTTTGCTCCTCGATACTCAATAAAATCCTCTTTTTTTACGATTGAATCTACTTCGACAATCCCATATTTAGTAATTCCCGAGCTGCTTCTTCTGTATCGCGGATCATCAAAATAAGCAAGAATACTATTTCTACGTAAAATACCATTTATAGGTATTTTAATCGAAATACCAAAACAGGGTTTTAGTTTCTTTTCTTGTTCTTGATCATATTGTAAGGGAATCACGAATCTATTTCTTCGCTTTTTAGCCAAGGGATTCTCTTGACGAATAGAAGTAGAAGGCTCTATGAGATTCCAATGACCCTTGGATATGATTCGATAAGGTTTTGAATAGTCAAGAATTTCCCTATCTTTTTTACCAAAGGTATCCAACAATTTATGTCTTACTTGATCATTAGTCAGTGAGAGATCAAAGATATATCTTTCTTCGAGAGAAAAAGAATTAGCATTCATTTGATCTTGATCCTTGTGGAGTGAAAAAGACACTATATTGGATCTGCATAGACCTCCTGCTAATATCCATAAATGACTTGTTTTTGGTAATAGATGAACATTACTATATGGATATTCGGGCGCATGATAGCCATCAGTACTCCAGTGCATTTCTCCTTCTGACTCAGAATAAATATGTTTTTGAACCCTTTCTTTAAAATGAAAAGTGGACGTTCCGGCACGAATCTCGGCAATCACTTGTTCTGATTCTACATATTGATCATTTTGAACTAAAATCAAACTTTTTGTTGGAATATTCACATTATGTAGAATATCTCGACTCTCAATAGTTACATACAAGTCTATAAAACATAGAAAAGCAGGATGCCCATGACGGGTACGTGTGGGATGAACCAAATCCTCATCAAATTTGATTTTTCCATTAGAGGGAGCTCGTACATATTCGGCAGTACCACCTGTGAATACTCCGCCGGTATGAAAAGTTCTTAATGTTAGTTGAGTCCCCGGTTCCCCAATTGATTGACCCGCAATAATGCCTACAGCTTCTCCCAACTCGACCAGGTCACCATGAGTAGGACTTCGGCCATAACATAATTGACAGATCCAAGATGTACTCCTGCAAGTAAAAGGGGTTCTAATATATATTGGGTGTGCTCGAAAGGTTATGAATCGATTAACAAGTCCAATTCCAATATCTTTATTTCGAGTGGCAATGCATCGTAGACCAATATATATATCGTCTGCTAATACACGACCAATTAGTGTTTGGACAAAAATCTTTTCCGTCATCCCATTTTGAGGACTCACGGAAATACTTCGGATAGTACCACAATCCGTTCTACGTACAAGAATGTGTTGAACTACTTCAACAAGTCTACGCGTGAGGTATCCAGCATCTGATGTTCGTACAGCAGTATCTACAACTCCTTTGCGGGCTCCGTAGCAAGAAATTATATATTCTGTCAAAGAAAGTCCTTCCCGTAAATTGCTTTGAATGGGTAAATCAATCATTTGTCCTTGAGGATCCGACATTAATCCTCGCATACCTACTAATTGGTGTACTTGAGATGCATTTCCTCTAGCCCCCGAAAAGGACATTAGATGGACTGGATTAGAGGGATCAGTCATCCGAAAATTAGGATTCATTTCTTGTCTCAAATATTCACTTGTAGCATACCATATCTCAATGGATTGACGTAATTTTTCTACCACATGTACATTCCCATAATGATGGTTTTTCTCTAAAAGAAAACTTTGTTGTTCAGCGTCTTGAACTAACCATCCCTTAGAAGGTATTGTTAAAAGATCATCAATCCCTAATGAAATAGATGTAGCAGTGGCTCGCTGGAAACCCAAAGCCTTCACTTGATCCAGGATATGTGATGTATATGCCATTCCGAAATGATCTATTAATCTGCTAATAAGTCGTTTCATAGCAGTTCCATCTATCACCTTATTGTGAAAGACCAGATCGGTCCGTTCTGCCATAAGGACCTCCATATTCTGCTGAGTAAGATTCCACAATGGGCCTGGGTCAGTGATTCGAAAACTTCCTTTCCTAAATCTTGATTCACACAGAAATTAAGAAATTATGATACCGGTGAAATTGGAGAGACCCGAATTCCCACAAGTATGGGCATCACTAATATAATTTCTTAGTTTTTATATAGAGCATGAGTTAGATAGCCTATGAGTAGGCCTGCCAAAACCCCTGTATGGCTTCTTCTATTTCTCGATAAAAAGAAAGATGACCAACAGTAGTTCGAATGTATATACAACGAATTTCTCTTTTTACACTTCCTATTATTCGATAGTGCTTATAAATCTCATTATAATTACCAAAAGATTCATATTGAACTTCGATGGGAACTTCTCTTGAGCCAACGACGCGTTGATCTAGTCTCCACCGGAGCCACAAAGGACTATTGAAATGGATTCGTTTCTGCCGATAAGCTCCAAGTGCATCATAAGAACTAGAAAAATACGGCTCTTTTGTATACTTAAAGTCATTCTTGTAAACTGTTTCCTTTTTAGAGTTTCTGCAATTAGAATTATATTGATTATACCTATTTGCACAAATACCTCGGGGATTCCCGATCGTTAATACATA